ATCCATGTCCCCTACGAGTAACACACAGGTCAGTTAAATGTGACTGTCCTGTGTGTGTGTGTGTGTGTGTGTGTGTGTGTGTGTGTGTGTGTGTGTGTGTGTGTGTGAGACTCTGAAAACATAAGACTGTTGACTTCATCATTCTATTACACAGATACAGAAGTCTGTTACAGCATATGGTTTTATTCAGAGATAAAAACTGCTAGAAAGCTAAAATATGAACGGTGTCACAGCTGAAAACAGAAAAGTTAAATGATTTAGATTTAGATTTAGATTTCCTTTATTGTCCCTCAGTGGGGAAATTCACATGAATAGATATGAATAGAAATAAGTGTTTTCCATTTTTAATTGCTTAAATGTAATTCCACATCAGTAGATAACTGGAGGCCTGCAAGCCAAAACTAGAGTGTGTAACAGTTAAAATTGTGGACTGCTCCTTTAAGACATTCTCGTGTTGCCTTGATACAACAGCAGCCTCTTCTGGTGGCTTTGTATTTCTCAGGTTGGTTGAGTAATAATAAAATGATGAAGGCTGCTCTCAAAGAAACCTGGAATACATGAAAGTTCCACCTTTTGAATTGAATTACAAAAAACATTTTACACAATATTTCATGATTTGAGTTGAACCTTTAAAGTGATTAAACGTAAAAAAACCAATCTCCTCAGCAGCTTCAAGTTGGTTCAATAACTGTGTGACAGTTAACAATTTAGTTTTCTTTGCAACGACAGGGCGATAACGTATCATGTAAATTTGGGACAAACTTTCAAAGTGGAAAATATAACTTGGTTTTACCAGGACAGCTTCATTAAAGTCTCCAGACACAACGTTTCCTCACGTTTACACAGAGAATTTCACGTCTCGCAGGAACTCACCTTTACAGGCGCTGACCACTGTGTTGAGAGCATCTCTGTTGCTCCTTGACAATTTCAGGCCCTCGACGGAGCTCATCAGAGGAATCATTCCCAAACCATTGAGAGGAGTGTCAAGAACGGCCGACACAAGTTCACTCTGCAAACCAGGCAGTGGAGGAAAAGCTTCTGTTAGTCAAATTAAATGTGCTCAAACGTTTTGTGATGCTATATGAGAACGAAATGTAAAAAATATCAGATTATTTACCATCGGGGGGCTGAACAATTCATTGAGCTCTGTGTAACTCGACAGAAACCGCGTCAGAGGCGTCTCCATGGGCTCCAGTAAGATGATGGAAGAGCGTGACGTTATGCTTTTGAGCAACTTTTTCTGAGATGCTGCAAAAGACACATTCACATCAAACAGGATGCTAGTACACAGCTCAGTGCTGAGTCACAGAAGAAACACTCAAATATAATAAAGTAGATTAAAAAAAACAAATACACAAATACCTGATGACAGATACTTTCGGAGGATGTGTGAAGCCTCAGTGTTGTGATCTCTGGTGTGAGCAGAACTTTCTACTGCTCTAATGGTCAGTGGACAATGTGAGGCTGGGGAGAAGAGCGGATACGACTGCTGGCCCTCTTCAATAGTGAAGCCCATCACTTCTACACGGCCGTACAGGCAGGTCAAGAAGCACTTCCCACGGAAACACAGGGTCTGCAGGAGAAACGTTTCATGTTCAGTTAAAGAAATGGACTTAAATGGATGAAATAAATACCACGATTGTTTCTACATGACATTTCCTGACTCATACCTGATCCATCTGCATGACGAGCACTGCACGGTTTTGCTGACCGTCCCTCTCCGCACAGTAATGCAGGGCCTCTCCCTCCAGTCTTCCTGGACGAACATCCTGAGCGTCAGCCGAGGCCTCCACGCCGTTCCCGTGAACTGACTGGGAATACTCCTTCCACTCCTGTGAGTCATCGGACTCATTGTCCATCGTAAATGCTGCACTTCCATTAGCCTGAATGTAGGATTTCTTCTGTCCAGGCTGTGAAGTGTTTTTCTTAGAGTCAGTCACAGACTTGGCTTTGGTTTGCAGTCTCTTGACCGAGGGTTTTTTCTTCATGGTCGCCTGGTGCTCTTTTGCCATCCTGGCGATGACAGGAGACGAGTTGAGCTGAGAGGAGCTGATGGGAGGCCTGCACCGTTTCCCCCTCACATCTTTCCACTTCTGAGATTTAGCAGGGCCTCTGACGTGCGCCGTTTTGTTCACCTTCATTTTCTCTTACCAACGATTACTCATGTGGGTGCAGATGAAAAACAAAGGGGGGAGCCTGCAAAAAAAAAAAGAAGAAGAGTATCGTCAATGAGGGAACAAGCTGTGTAATATACTCTGCTAACAACACATTACCACGTTATATTCATGTTTAATCAGTGGAGCAACTTCATCCAACATGTGCAACAATTCTCATGTCTGTTTACATCGTACTGATCTATTTGAGAGCTGGATGTAATGTTCTTCTGATTCTTGAGGAAGTTTGACTTGTTTGTTTTCTTCATAACATTGAACAATTCACTAATCACTTAGTGTAGAAAACATTCTGCAGGTTAATGGATGATAAAACAGTCGTTAGCTGCAGCACTTGCATGCATGCATTTATCACAGGAAGCCACAGCTAGCTTGATTTGACAGACGCTTCAATCACAGCACACAGCTAAGCTAATCATGCTAACGCAGCAGCGTGTAGTCTTTGAGCTTTTACTTCCTCGACGCGTGAGTCCGAGTCTTCAAACAACTCAGGACCAAAGATGCACCAAGAACCGGACAGCTCGAAGCGTCCGCAGCTGCCTGTCGCAGCAGGAAACTAGCGTTAGCCGCTAGGCTAGCCGCTGTTGGGACGCCCCGGTGGTGAGAACTTACCCCCCAGCTTGTGGTGGAAGGTAAAAATAAAAACAGCGCGGGGACGTAGAGGTGAGCTTTAATGGCGTCAGAGCAGGAGGAGGTTTGTGATTCAGCGGAGTGAATCCCAGGAGGAGGCTGAACGTGGACGCGGCGGTGCTAACAGGTTAGCTCACGTGTGTGGGTCGCAAAACACACGCAGCGTCCAAACAACGGTCGACCATGACGTTACGCGGTGTTTTCCTATTTACGACTCAAATCGTTTTTAACGCTTGTTTCTCATTTCAACTGATTTAAAAAAAACACATGTGGAAAAAAAACACCGAACATCACTCGAATCAGAAACATTTTAACTGCGCTAATTTAATGGTTATAGCGACGAATGTGGGGGGGAGGGTTTGATAACGGACGACCAAGATCTTTCGCGGAGTTCATCGCGTAAGCGGCGTCACTTCCGCTTCCTGTTTGCGGTTCTTCTTTAGGGGCCTAAAAGAAACGAAAACAAGCTGCACGCTGCGAAGCTTCGCTGCGTTTGTCGCCGTCTCTGCGCGTGGAGCTCGGTTCGGCTGCAGCTCGTGGACAAAGAGGAGCACGCGGCCGGTTCGGTTCGAGGCTGCGGATCTGAGCCAGGAAATGCTGCGGGCGGCCGAGTGCCGCGCTAAGGGAGCGTCTTTAAAGAGCCGCGCGAGGAAATAAACGTGAAGCTGCACAGGTAGCCAGAGGATTTTTGGTTTTGTTTTTTTTAAATATTTATTCAAACTGCATGGAAATATTACGTAAGTCTTTGTTTTTAATAATCCACCAGATCGACGTGTCCACTGTCATCCACTCAGATGTGATGAATGAAGGTGATTAGTGGAGTAAATGTGTCTGCAACCATTCAAAACAGTGCAGGGGCCATTTTTTTCTTGCAGCCAGTACTTCAAGTATCTCACATTTCAAAGTGCAGCACTTCAGTAAATGTACTTCATTTCTTCCTGTTTATCAGAACTAGCTTTGTTGGCCAAATATTCTGTTTAGTAATAATGATAATAAACTTTATTTGTATCCCACCTTTCTTACAAGAAATGCAGCTCAGAGTGCTTCACATACAATATAGATAAAAAATAAAAACACGTTTATTATATTGAAAACGTGATAATATTCTCTCACTCACTCTGAAGTTAAATAAAAGCTGCTGACTGTCACAATCGAGAAGATTACATCAGCCTGTGTTTTGCTTTAAAAACACGTAAACAGTGAATTCCTTATCATATTGGTTCTTTTTCAATTTAATTGATTAACTAACAACTGATTTCAGTTCTGGGATATAAGTCTATTCGTGCTTTATACTAATATTTATGGGCAAGTGTATGATATGCATTAATAATCTACTTCACATTAAAGCTGAAACAATAAATTGATCAATAAAAAGAAAATCAATTATTTTGACAGGCTTTAATTTCTCTTTGAGTGTTCCAGTGAATAAACATGATGTTGATGTGTCTCATGCAGCAGCAGTGAACAGTGAAGCTGGAGGGATGCCTGCAGCAGAGAGCCACCATGCACAACAGGTCCTGTCCTCCCTGAACCAGCAGAGGGCGCTAGGCAGGTTTTGTGATGCAGCATTGAACGTGGGAGGGGGGCTGGTCTACCTCGCCCACCGCAACATCCTGGCGTGTTTCAGTGACCTGTTCCAGCAGTCCAACATGCCCGCCTCACCCTGCATGGAGATCTTCCTCCAGGAGTGTCCCAACGACGGCCTCGAGCTGCTGCTCAACTTCGTCTACACCGGGGAGCTGAGGCTGGATCCTGACAACCTGGACAAGGTGCAGCATGCGGCAGCCAGCCTGTGTGTGCCAGCAGCACTTCAGCTCTGTGAGCAGTTCAAAGAAACGTCAGTGGATCCTGCGCCCCTCAAGCGTAGAAGAGGCCGGCCTCGAAAGACCACGTCAGACGCAACCCCTCATTGTTCAGTCAAAGACGAGAACGTGGTCTTGGTCGTGGTAACAAAAGACGATTCTGGGTTCGACACTGACGCAGCCACCACCACCACTGCTGCTGCTGCAACCACCACCACCCGCTCTGGTCGCGTAGTGAAGGGCCCCAAGCGACTGGTGACTGATGAGATCCCCACCACTGATTTTATAGCCACTGAAATACTCAGCACGAAGGCCCCAAATGTTCCTGCTGAGAAAGAAAGTAGTGACGTGGGAAATCAAAATCCAGATCAGCCAAGTGTAGAAGCTGAGGTATGATACACAAATGTGCAGTGAGCATGAAAAAGCCTCACTGTGGGTATTTGCACTAACATGGCGGTTATCTTTACACTTGCCCCGTGCTGTGTTGCAGACAACCGAGCTACAGATTGACATAAACGACAACGGTGTGAACCAGGTAACCGAGGAGGCAGAGGAAGACGACGACGTGGGGGAATTTGAGGGTATCACAGAGGGTTCGGACGAGGAGTACGTACCCGTCGCCGAGCCCACCCCTTCCGCTTCGTCCGCAACAACAGCGCGGAGACGCAGGGCCCAGAAAAAGACGGCGAAAGCAGAGAATGGCGAGGCCGTGGAGGAAGACTCAAAGAAGGACTCGGTGCAGTGTCCCATCTGCGACAAATCCTTCAAGAGCAAATACTACCTCAAAGTCCACAACAGGTAAATGTCTTCTCTACTTTTCCACCTTCAGGTTTGTGTCGTATCGACTGACGTGTCTTTGTCCTAGGCGACATACGGGGGAGAGGCCCTTCGGTTGCCTTAAATGTGGAAAGAGGTACTTCAGGAAGGAGAATCTTTTAATACACGAGATCAGAGACTGTGCTCGAGTGCAGGTGAGTCACGAACTCAAACAGTTTCAGCTCTAAAACGTCAACATCACGAAAGTGTAACACCGGCGTCGTGGGTTGTTGTAATTACAGACGTACACCTGCCTGACGTGCTCCGCAACATTTAAAGGAAAAGAACAGCTACGTCTACACAATGTGTCGCACACCGGAGAAATGCCCCATAAGGTGCCACACACACACCCAACCCACACGACGAAAAATCATATCAGCGCTAAAATGAGTTTGAAAAAACGATCTCCACTGACATGGTCTTTATTTTTCAACAGTGTTCACTGTGTGCTGAACAATTCATGTACAAGAAAAACCTGACAATTCACATGATGAAGGTCCACGGTTACCCCAAACCACACGCAGTAAGTTTTCTCTGTTCATGATGACGTGTCAACAGTAAATAATACTTCAAGTGTGTTATTTAACATTTAAAAATACTTTTACTGCAGTGAAATCGAAGATCTGCACATCCACAAAATATCCAGCCAATGCACATTTGCCCTGAATGAAGTTTGTTGTTTTCACTCTATTAAAACAACATTTAATCTGAAGTGTCCTCAGTGCCCCAAAACCTTCTTAACCCGGACGGAGCTGCGCGTCCACGAAGCGGCCAAACATCGAGGGGAGAAGCCGTTCGTGTGCGAGGAGTGCGGCCATCGAGCGTCCAGTCGGAACGGACTGCAGATGCATATCAAAGCCATTCACAGGTGGGGGTGCATGTTTTGTCTTTTGTAAACAAAACCGATAAAAGGCTCAAATTGTTCCTCTGGGTTTTTGCCAAGAGTCTGGAAACATTAAACATGTCTCACTCAACAAGACGTCTCACTGTCGAGTTTCAATTTTACAGAGAGACAATATCACAGCTGAGTCTTTTTTCTGATGTGGACAATGTTGAGGAAGCATTTTGACATCAGTGGTCGTCCCCCACAGAGTACGAAGTGAGAGCTCCTATAAATTTAAATTCAAGATAAAGCGAGGACAGAGAGGAGGGACAACGAGCTGCTGCACGGTTGAAAGTGAGTCCTCTGGTTGAGTGAGACATCTGATCTATTGGACTGATTCCAATCATTCAAAGATACTTTTATAAATACAAGGTTTGAGAAATACAACACCCCTGTAAATAAATAAACACGTATTAAAACATCTGTGCAGGTTTAGTGAGTCTTGCCTTTTGTTTTTTGCTTCTCAGAAACGAGCGCCCGTTTGTATGCACCTTGTGTGGTCATGCATTCTCCCAGAAGAACAACCTCAACATGCATCTGCGTATTCACAGCGGTGAGAAGCCCTTCCAGTGTCACCTCTGTGGAAAAACCTTCAGGACACAAGGTAATGTCCACATCTGCCTTGAACATTTCTCTGTGAGCGACAGTAGCGCCATCTGGCTGTTGTCTGATGCACTGATTGTTGTCTTTTTAACACCAGCCAGTTTAGATAAACACCATCGGACGCACACTGGCGAGCGTCCCTTCGGCTGTGACGTTTGTGAGCAGCGGTTCACAGAGAAAGGCGCCCTCGTCCGCCACAAGGCCAGCAAGCACGAGGAGGGTCGTCCCCACTGTTGTCACATATGCGGCAAAACCTTCAAAGGTGAGATTTCCTGATAAACGGACCTCGTTTGGCTCCTTGATCGATGAACACGTCGTGTTTTGTGTCCTGGTGAATCCGGCGCTAAAGGCTCGCTCATGTGATTCCTCACCAGCAAGGGAGCAGCTTCGTGTTCATCTGCGCCGCCACAAAGGCATGAGGAAGTTTGAGTGCCCAGACTGTGGCTACAAGTTCACCCGACAGGTACTTTAACTATTATCGTCATTGTTACGTTCTCCAATAATCAATAAGATTGATCTGAATCACGCAGCAAGGTTTTATAAATACATCTGTCTCATAATTGCAGAAATCTTTGTCTGTCTGTGGCTCGAGAAACGTTCAATCAGCTCCACACTCGGCGTGTGTGGTCTTCATGGTTCAAGGAACATGTGATACGTTCAATGTTAATACAAATGAATGTTCTCTCTCCAGGCACACCTGAGACGACACGTTCAAATCCACAAACGCACCGAGAACTACAACCCCCGCCAGAGGAAGCTGAGGAACGTGATAGTGCAGGACGTTGATGGAAGTTCTGGTGAGAACGAATCAACAAAAACTGCGGGAGTCTCGCTGACCACGGAGCCGACGGATTACAGCCCGGACACCGGCGACCTCCAGGAAACCACAAACCCAGAGAGCGACTCCTCGCCGGCAGGAGCAGGCCTCGCTTCCAGCTGCATCATGAGGGTGGTGATCGAGTCGAGCGACCCGGCGATGGAGGAGGTGGTGTCAGATCGGAACCTGAGACAGGTCGAGGCAGCGGAAAGTTTCTCGGTGCCAGGAGTCTTGCAGCCGACGCAGCTGGTCACCGAGGTGTACGAGTCCACGGTGGACATGGAGGGACTCGTTGAGGACATAACGGAGAGCAAGACTTGAGGACTGAAAGAGACTGACGCCTTCGTAGAATTCAGGTAAATGAGAAGCACTTAAAAAGACGATGCAGGTGGTGAATCACAGCCTGAAACATTTGGCCTTGCAGATCTAAAGATGAAACGGCTGCTGATGAGTTTCTAGTCGTGCAGAAGAGAAGTAAATATATTTCATGCTTGTAGTAATTTATACATCGTTAGTTGAACTGCATGTTTGTAAAAACAGCTTGAAACTAAAGCAGCTGGACTCTGGACATCGTAACTTATCTTCACCAGTCTTTGGATTTGTTAACGAAGATATTAAAGAATAAATGGACATTTCTTTATGGTGGAGTGAGATGAGAATAATAAACATTATTTACGTTGTTCACTTGTGTGCCATGTGTGTATTTCTTGACTGATGTATTTATATGGACTACACAACATATTATGTGGTATTTAATGAGTTTTTCTGTCGGGTGGATTTAGTTTTCATTTGACTTCATATTTAACAAAAAGATGAAGACAACAGATTCTTATTTTCCAAAATTTCAAGTGAACCATGAAGAATCAAACGTTATGATTTAAGATTTATGGACAAAAACATAAGCTTACGCTTGAAATTCATAAAAAAAAAAAAAAAACCTTTATTGACTTTTCACACTCTGCCGCAGCTACAGTCCATAGTTTATATGATATAAGTGAACATTCGTATCCTTCGCACGTCATCGTGTGACTCAGCAAAATAAACTCTCAGATCTGCCTGCAGTTTCATTCATGGTAACTACACTGTAAACATTTCAGAAACACACAAGAATATAATAGATTTACAAAACTGATTCAACAACACAAACCTGTATGAAAACTATAAGGCAACACAACAGCATAGATCATATTCACACAGCGGCAATTTTCACTCAAGGTGCGAAGCTCGAATGTTTTTCTGACCCATAACAAGCGTTGCGCTGCCGTGACCCAGGTTTATAAGTCGTATAAACGCACTTCAGTCCGTCAACTCGTGTTTGAAAAGTTTACTGCGGCAGCAAAACATTTAGATTTTGGCGTCGAGGCTCCGACTTCATCGCTTCCCCAGATACGATGACATTAATATAAAGGGGAGTTTATAATCGCCCTGTCGGAGAATACAGGTGGAGGCTGGGGCCACTGACAAGCAGAGGGAGAGATGGGAAATAAAATGTAGAGTAATCAAGCTTGTAATATATATGCTATATTTTAAATGCCTGATTAAATTCTTAAGTGGTTGAAAAAAAACAAAACCTCCCCCATCTTAGTTTAACTGTTACAGCTTTTGAGTTTCCCCACACTGATTTGCGACGTCAGAGGAAAATGGCCGTCGTACGACTACGGTCTATGGAAACACTCACAAATTATAATTTCCATTAAAGCAAACGTTACTTTACACAAGAGCACAGATTCTTTTGAATATCCAGTTGAGACCGCCGACCCTTCGCTAGTTTCACTGCTCTTGCGCTCTCAAGCAAACCACAACACGAATACATCCATAAAATAATCATAAATACAATTTTGTAGGAAAATACTTCATGCACATTGGACTGGCTGTTATAAACAAGTGACGGGGAGGGGGGGGTGTGCAGCCTCCAGACGTTTGACCGTGATGAAAAGGTTTCTCACACGTTTCTGGACTCTGGTAATTTCTGCTCGTACACGTCAACACGTCCCGTTGAGCCATTTGTCTGTTTAGTGCTAAATATCGATTGTGACTGCAGCTGTTTCTGGAATGTAGACTGATCATCGTTGAGTCCGTACTGAAGCACAGTTCAATAGAGTTCCACTAAAGTAACTCAGTCGGACTCTGGACCGATTTAAAAGATAGAAATTGACATAGTAGAGCCAGAGACGGTCTCATCTCTCAAGACCTGGCGCCTTCATTACCCACAATGCTACTCGCCCACTGACAATTCAGTTGGAGATTCAGTTTTTTTTATTTTTTTTTTTATGACTGATCGATTAAAACTCCTCACGTGCAACGGACTCACATCAGCGGAGGCCGTCCGTCAGACTTCACTCTGCTCCCTCTGCAGCCACAAAAGGCTTGTAAACACTTACTTAGATGCTTGCGTGCATTTAGAATTAAAATTTAATGCGTTTGTAGAAAAATAAATTCCACAGTGATCAACTGCTAACTCACAGAAAACGACGGCCTCACCCACCGTGTGTGGGAGACAGTGCTCGATAGTTGCTGAATAAAAACTTGAGAGAGAGAAGCAGCTGTTTAACTGCTCTTCATCAAAGGAAGGGGGAAGTTCACCACACTCATCGTTTTCTCATGTAAAAGTAAAGGATGCTATTTATTCAGATAAGAGAGAAAACGTACCTTTGTGCAGCTCATTCAATTTACAGAGTAAAACGATTTCCGATTCTTGTTGCCGATGAAATCTTTTTTAATTTTCAGATTCATCATTTGCTATTTGTCTGTAAATTGAGAAAAAACATCTTGAGCCAAAGACGTCGTCTACAAATGTTAACTACTCTGTTAAACGCAGAACAAGCTCAAAACTGAACCGTTAGAAAGAAAAAGAAGATGATTATCAAATATGTTGCGGATAAATTTGAGCGATAAATAGTTTCGGTTGTAATCTAAAGTGTTTTCACGAGAAAAGGATGATGGCTTTAAGTCTGGTTTGGAAAATAAACTCCCCTACCTCCCTTTAAGAGCAGCACAGAGACACTTCCCTCTGCTTCTGTACAGGAACCAACCAGAACTGTTTCCGTGTGAACACGACTGAGAACCGTCCTGTTACTCCTCCAGTCAACAGACATGATTGTCACTACGACGACAGCTTCGTGCTCAGGTGGATTCTGCTCCCTCTTCTCTTCTGCCTTTGACATGAGGTAAATTCACAGTAAGCTAACGATGGCACGATGAGGGAGAACAGACTTGAAAACACGTGAGAGGGTGTTAAGGTCCAAACTCAGTGCGCTGGGTTCACATCCTGGTTCTGGTTGAGATTGTTGTTGAGATTGTGGAGCGCTTGGTGACGCTGGTGGCGGTGCAGGTGAATGGCGTTCAACTCCGGCGTCTCGGTAGGTTGGAAGGCACTGGACACCTGGGGCATGAACTGGCGGAAGATGCTGACGCTGCCGTGCCAGAAGGTCGGCTGAGGTAGTCGCCCAGCGAGGGACCACGAGCGGGTGGTTGGGTCGAAGGCTTCCACCACATCGGACAGCTCAAACGTGTTGTCATAACCGCCAGACACAAATAATTTACCGCCCAGGGCTGCAACACTTCCTCCAACATGGACCTGGGAAAAAACAATGAAATGAAGAATGAATGATCTTTAATCTGCTTTTGTCAGTTTTGGGGCTAAAAATAAAAATGTAATAATTAATATGAAGTGTAATATAATATAATATAAACTTAAAGCTTAAAACTGGACACTATTTAGGTTTGTGTCATCAGATCTAAAGTAAGAACGACCACATTCACTCATCATCATATTCGGAGCAGTCGACACGTCTGTTTGTCACGGAGGGATTGTAAATGAAGAACGAAAGGAGAAAAACACATGGCGTGAAATACAAACCTGGGTCATCGGACTTATCATGTCCCACTTGTTCTTTTGAGGATTATAAACATCCACCTCGGCTGAGTCATCCCTGCAAATAGAGACACACCAGAGTCAGGTCACTGCCAAAAACAACCCACGCTTCAGACTTCACGGACTTTTGAACCAGTCACGTCCGATCAACAATAATCAGTTGCATCCTCAGGTATACTGGCGTGTGAGGAAGTGTGTCATCTTGTATTCATGTAGTTTAATTATAAACTGACTGACGGATTCATAAAACCAAACGTATAGTGGTGCCGACCTTACAGACTGTAGATATTAAGTAAAACGACCAGATTGAAAATATAAAAGACTCAAGAAAAGGTCCTGCACTTCAAAACCTACTTAAGTAGTAAATGTAGTAAATGTGTTACCGACAAAATTTACTTGAAGTGTAAGTTTTAAGTACGCAAACAAACAAACACCGTAACAAGCGGTTACCTTCTCCATTTCTCTTAATTAATAACATACTCTTTATAAAACTAGGAGGAAGTTTTGAATTAGGGAACTACAGGAGCCATGAAATGAAACTTTTGCAGATTTAGTTGAGATGTTAAATCTGTTTACGTCTCACCTGACAAAGTAGATGAGGCCGTTGAGGGTCACAGTTTTCGGTGTGAAGGACCACGGAGGCAGCTGTCCACAATTAACCATTAACCAGCGGTTGGCGTCTGAATCGTAGCTCTGGATGGCCATGGTGTCCTCTCCGGTCAGGCAGCCGATGGCGTACAAGCGTCCGTTGCACGCGGTGGTGGAGCAGTTGTCCATGGGGTGCAACATGGCTGGCAAGGCCTCCCAGCAGTCCACAGCGTGATCGTAGCGCTCGGTGCTGTCCGACGCCACCACGTAGAGCTGACCTTTCACCACACAAGAGCTGTGGTACTCACGGGCCTTCAGCATGGGCGACGCCTCGGTCCATTCGTTGACGCTGGACTTGTAGCGCCACACGCCGTCGTAGAGGCGCGAGCCGTCAGAGCCACCTGACAGACACAAGAATGACGTTATTACAACTGGCATGAAAGATATCTTTATTCGTCCCTGTGCACTTTTTAATATCAAATTTATTCGTTTTTAACATCTTTATAAGTCATCGACAAAGTGAATTTAAAACCCTTTATTAACATCAAGAGGGAAAATGACTTCAATAAAATCAGGACACGAATGTGGATATTTTCAGTTTATGAGCAAATAAAAATTATAGAGCGCCTCTGATATTTGGTGTCCTCCTCCTCAACCAGTCAGAGTTTCAAAGACTGAACCTCTGATGCCAGATATATAATATAATATATCTTAAATGTGAAAAAACTAAATCCACCTGTAAACATTACATAATCATATGCTGCTGTTATTTCCGTCATCCAGGCAGTGAGCTACGTGCTAATTTTATGGTTCATCATCAGTGTCGTTCCATCTCTGACTAAAGGTCTGAGATGATTTGTCGGGGGGGGGGGGAAACTCGAGCCTTCTTATAGCTTTGGGAAGATCACCGGTGAAAACGATGCTGATGATGATATTGATGATGAAGCCACGGCCGTCCTGGCAGCACATCATGTCCCATCTTACTCAACCTTGACCACACACACACACACAGACGCCAGCCAAAGAGCCGGCGGTTTATTTATAAGCCTTCATGCCTGACGACCATTTCATAAGATGAAGGAAGAGGAGTGGAAATGTACTGACTGACGCTTCCAACCGAACAGAGTCTAACACACATAGCAACTGTAACCACAAGTCTTTGGACTTCCCATGCAAAGTGTTGTGTGGAAAGATGTTTGCGTGTCACTGAATGTCTTACCTGTAACGTACATATCGTTTCCGAGGGCAGCTATACTGTAGCCTCCTCCGAGGTGATCGGGGAATTCAGCCAGGTAGCGCCACTGTCCCGTCTGGGGGTTGTAACAGTCCACTGTGACCAGCTCATCACAGTCCTGGTCGCAGCCTCCCACCACCACCAGGATTTCTGCCAATCCTGTAGATGGCCGTGGCCGCATGCGGTGGCAGGGCCTGTCGTGGCGGTCGTACTCGCAGGACTGGAAGCTACGGGCTTCGTTCACCATGCGGAGGCAGGTGGGTGACAGGTAGACGAGTGGGTCGCTCTCCACATGGGCCAACAGGAAGAACCTCCTGACGAACGGGAGTCGGACCTGCTGGAGGAGCTCGGGCCAGTAGTGTAGCCTCCGCTGGAGATCTGCCTTCACCCAGCGCACTGCAATTTGATAAACTGTCTCCTCCTTGTCCACACACAGCTCATTATCCGACATAAACTCAAGCAGGCGCTTCCAGGGTAATCGCTCAAAGTCCGTCCCTTTAGCCAGCTCCATTATGTTCTTCAGGACAAAGCGCCGAGCGCTGACTGCCAGTTCGCGGCAGGCGAAAGCCTCCGCAAAGTCCTGGATCTCTAAGCAGTTGGAAATATCCAGCCGCTGCTCCAGAAAAGCACAGCAGGCCTCTTTAACCGAGGGAAACTGAAACAGATCAGCCGTCTTCAGAAGGAGGTCCACGTTATCCTGAGTGACGGTGACCCGCCCCGTGTAGCAGAAGTCCACCAGCAGACCTAAAAGCTCGGCTGACACCTCGTGTAGAACTACTCGGTCCATAACGCTCTCCCGCAGCGTCCCTGCAAACATGGCCCGGAAGTAGGTGCTGGCGGCGGCCAACACTGTGCGGTGACAGTGGAACTCGCGGCCCTCGGCACACAAAGTCACATCGAAAAACTTCCTCTCAGCTCTGAGTTCATGGATTCCCCGCAGCAGGTTGAAGGCGTGAGCCGTGTCGAAGAAAGGCAGGGTGGATGGTTGCGTCTGCAAGACCGGCTTCTCCATCTCCATCTCCTCTGCTCTCTCTGGGCGATCGGTTTCTGGTGGTTGTGATCAGAACGCAGTTGTCATCTACGCAACAGAGAAACAACAGACACATGCATCAAAGTTCAAATCGACATGTTACAACTAACGACTCAGGAAAGTTTCACAGTTCAAAAACAGAAGATGTGTTAATTTGTTTATCCGCCACTTCAATCCCAGAGGAAACGCTTAGAAACAAATCCAAGCCAAGTAGTGATCACAACAGAGACTTTAAAGTTTAACCAATGTTACAGGACACAGGTTCAAATAAACTCCAACGGTTGTGTCCCTACCTGACTTCCTCCAGCCACGTTTCACCAGCACAGCGAACAACAGTCTAGAATATACGACAGCGAAGCTCAACCCGACTCTGGAGCGTTCGACCAGCTCCTTACTCGTGTTTAAGAAAGAGATCTCGCTTGTGCTTCGGGGCTATAAATACACCAGCAGTGTCCATTTCCAGAGGAGGGAGGGGGGGGGGGTGCTCTGGGGAGAACACCTAACATGCCGTGAGCTGACGCTGTGGGGAGAGTGTAAAACCCCACCCCCACCCTACTGGTATGTCTCTGCGGTCAGTCAGTGTGAGTAAGTGATCTCTGAGAGGAGCGAGATGAATCCAGACCAAACACACAGAGCTTCCTGTCTGAGGCGTCGTCCACAGGAAAACACTCGTCGTCACTTGAAAATGCATCAACTCTGCGACAGATCCGTCCGAGTTTCAGAGAAGATAGAAGTTTGGAAACGCTGCTGAGCGCTGACCCTGTTTCAGTTTGAAAACTCCTGAGGCTGCGTTTGAGTTTGGACGGGCAGAAATGGAGATGCGAGACATTAATATATTCGGGTTATGAGCTGTTGGTTGGAGAAAAGTAAAATCAGTTGAAACTTTAAATAAATACTGACCCTAAATCATGTTTTTAATTCTGAAATAGAGTTAATATGATACTAAAATCTTGCTATTTATAGCTTCAGATAATTCACTGCGGCTGTACAGAAGAGTACAGTTGATTTAGACCTCGTGTTGTGGATTAAATTTCAGGTTTGCATTCCTGTAAAATCGCCAGGAAGAAAAAGCAGAAACACATTCGAACAGACTTTCTCAAAAACACGAGTTGACTTCATGAGGACTTGAATTCAACGGCCAACCTGAGCCTCGTGTCAACATTTGGAGATGATCATTCTCTCTCAAAATACACAGGTATCTCTTTACAGAGATTTGTTTTAAGGCTGGAATAAAGCCCCTGGTCCTCTGGCCAAAGGACTTAGCACACATTCCACACCAGGGCTCAACAATGCAGCGGTGCACAGAGGATCAAACTGCCCCGTGAAGGGCAGACAGGGCCTCACAACCCAGACCTGCACTGAAAATACACATCTTCCTTACTGGTGTTAAAGCAATCGTCTTTATGTCGGAGGGGATAATGGAATTTCCTTACATAGACGTGATGAGCTTTCCATTCACTCGGTCGTTTCAGTGATTTCTTACGACCCCTGTCCTGTGAACAAATGCTAAAAAAAAATTCTCCCACGAAAGCAGTTCAGTCATTCAACAATAACATCTGCTCTTTGTCTTCCACGTTTTGGCCGTGTGCTCTTTTCCCCCACATTATCACAAACAGAAAACATGGGGGAGGCTTCAAACTGCAGCAGCCAGGAAATGTATTGAGCAACTCGTGTTTACCAACCAACTCCGAGAATAGCGAACAGAAGTTTATACTCTCCAAAGGAGCGAGGCAGAGGGAAGGTGAGAGGGAGCGGAATGGTAGAGAGGTGGAAACAATCCCACCGCTATGAGTGAAGAGCACAGAGAGGCCAGTGTAACAGCCAGACATCTGCCCCACCCACCTGCACAGGCTCGCCATATGGGTGGCGGGGTCTCTGAGCCCCCTTTCATCAGGGTTCAGTATACGTCTGTCTTCCCCTGGAGCTGAACTCGTGACCTGTGGTTATATTCTGGATGAAAACAGTCATGGAGGAGGCACGCTGTTAGTCACAAGCGGAGCCAGACCCATTTGATTTTTGGGGGCTGACGCAGACACTGGGAGTAAATTATTTCTGATGCCGTTACACTGATTTATAAAAATATATTTGGGAATGACTCCTGAGATGACGTTATCAAACACTGATGGTGGAAAAAATAGAACTGATGCTTGATATTTCACAGTTTAACCGTAAAATTTATCTAAATCTAAATTCTCCAAACGCCCGTCTCGGTGTCTGTGTGTCGACCCGCTCTCTGCAGCAGTGGCGCTGTCGATCACAACAACAGATCGATCACAACAACAAATCGATCACAACAACGGCAACAAAAAACTGATTCTCCAGTTCAGGTTCTGTGAACTGAGACGAGCTTAACTAAGCTTTGAATAAACAGGTGGACAGCTCGTTGTGCAGCTTCAGGGTTCAGCAGAGAGGATGGTTGGTGGGTGAATATTTCAGATTGATGAGAGGGTCTATGACTTCAGGTGGGAACCATGTTGCTAATAAAGATGCACAAACTACTGCAAATAGAGACAGAGAGTAGTATGAAGTGAGAATCAGCTATCACAACTTTCTACAGGCCGAGATGAGCTAAACATGTTTTACTATTGTCTGACCAACAGACTAAAACACAAAGATGTTCAATTTCACAGTTCATCTGCTGATTAAAGGCAACATACTCAGATTACAAAAGAACAAAGCATCATCTTGTTTCATTTAAATCGAAGAAAAAAGTTGAGGCTTGATTAATTTGCTGCAGGCTCTGACTCTGAATCACAGTTTCATAACAGTGTGGCATCCAAGAGTCCCAACCATTCACTGACTGTACCTTCAGTTTGTCTGGGAGCCGCTCTGTGCTTTTGAACTGTGTAAATCAAAAACAGCTCTACATGTAGTACAGTGTGTTCTCAAAGCTAGTGTTGCCCCTTGCTGGTGCAAGCTCGCAATTACCAACGACGACAGTTTACAGACAAGACGATCTTGTATTTTGGTCACAGTGAAACAGCTCTACTGCAAACGACCTTCTTAAAACTTGGCTGTCCACATGTATTACTCTGGTTTGAGAAATATTAAATCCAGGTTGCTTTGAATATCAAAACAATGAATAGAGAAATGTTTTTACACAGCAGCTCTCAGCACCTGGTCCACCAACAACCTCTGTGTAACACAGCTGCTCACTCTGCTGTCGCTGCCGGGACCGATGCAGACATCAGAGGGACATAAATCCCTGGTTCTCCGCAGCTGAGCCCGGCCTGGCCATAAAAAGGCAGCGGTGGACTCCCCACACCACACACTCCTCTCATTCCCCCACAGAGGAGGGTGAGCACGAGGCTACGAGCAGCAACAAAGCCTCAGATAAGAGACAGTCATTTTAAAGACGTGAAGTCTGGAGAACGTCTGCACAGTGTGTTCCGAGAGTTTCACAAATGAAGACGAGTTCACAACAACACATAAATCTCTGCTGCTGCTGCACAGATCATGTGTTTCTGGGTACAAACACTACATCTTGATTGAAAAGGAGCCGGAAGAAGTAAACAACAAGTAAATAAACAAGTAAACAATTAAAAATGTGAAAAGCTGCAGGTCAACACATCCCTCTGTTAGTTACAATTCATTTTATAGCATTCAAAGAAGCTCACAAGATGATTTACCTGTCACACAAAACTAAACTAAACAACAAGTTTCATTGTACTTCCTCAACATACTGACTTTAATTGTTATTTTTAAATATGTTTGCTTCAGATTCTCTGGCTTGTTCCAGAAACTGATTCCTCTCACTGGAATGCAACGTTTCAATGCAATTCTGAATTTTTAAAAGATCTCATGTGCACGGTTAAAAATTATACAATTGTGAGCTTCATACATAATTTGCAGAAACTACTAGTTCCTGAAACTTTCACTGAACGAATATTAAATCTTTTAATTTACTTTACACATGCAATTGCAGTGTCACTTCAACATCTCTCAGCAGAACATGAACCGTGGAGGCCCTCACATCTAAAACCTGCTCATCCAGAGCTTCGTGTTTGCTTCATGGTCACATCCAGATGTTGTGGAGCTGGACCCAAATCCAACACGTGCAGCCAGATGTTCGACGTGACGTGTGAAGGTTATTAAACATTAAAATAAAAACACCTCATGATGAAAACTTCCACGATGCTAATGAACTTTTAGCCACAATTTAAAAACAACGTGTGTGTGTGTGTGTGCACGCGGTCATGAGTTACACAACATGAGGATATGAAGCTGTTTGTTATTGTTGCTCGTGTTAAATCATCATAAATATAATAAAGATGATGAAGATGATAAAGATGATGAAGATGATGAAGAAGATGAAGAAGCGTCCTGTTGATGCGGAGCTCGCGATGTTTCCTGTGACGTCTCCTCTGATGTCGGTGCAGCGAACATTCAAACTGACCTGAGTTTATCTGCAGCCGCGGAGGAGGTGTTATCACCGGGAGCTGAGAGGAGTCGAGGAGGAGAAGGAGGAGAAATGACGGGTTGACGCGCGGCTGAGAGACTCCGAGAGTCCGAGAGGCCTCCTCATCTTCTTCCGGTCCGCCATGACACCCTGCGACACACGCTGCCTTCACGGGCTGTCGGAAATATCAGCAGCGGACGAGACCGATTGTAAACAACAACAATAACGACAGTGATGATATTATTATTATCAATAATAATAATAATAATAGTACTCTCATATATATTATTTCCCTTATAGCTATACTACTACTAGTAGTAAAGTTTATACTAATAATATCGACTATAATACTGATAATAATTTTAAAAGGTGAATAAGAAAGATATACCATCATAAGTATACTTCTAGTAACAATAATAATTGTGATAATGAGACAAATAAGAATGATACATCATTATTACAGCTTGTATACTGTTTATTTAAATGTGAGGGAAGTTTGTGACTTATACACCTTTTAATAGCTTTAATATCAAGTATGATTTATATTCTGTGTCTTACTGTCATTATGTTCCCGAGAGATGATCGACCTCTGCAGGAACACTGAAGATCAGATGTTTTATGTTTTGTGTTGGAGTTCCCATCCCGTCTCTGAAACGCCACTCTCATGTGGATAACGAGCATTTTGATACATACATTAAATACAGTGACCTGGACTGCTGTTCTAGTTTCATAACCTTTATTCAAATCTTTTAGATTTGAATGTGTGTCGAGCCACTTTGTGATGAACTCATAAATTCGGGTAAGGACAGAGAGGGCCATTGTAAGGGGAGCTGTCTTTTACAAGTGCGCCCTAATAAAAGTGCATGTGAAGCAATAATACCACACGGAGGGTTACCATATCAACAAATTGCACTAATCTAATGTTGTGGCTGTAGCACGTCTGGACATTATAGGAGCCTGTCGCTGATTTTATTACCAGAGCCAGACTAGTGTTTCCAGTCTGTCAGTGAAGAACAGTGTCATTGTAAGTGTCATTGTAAAAATTTGAATCATAAAACCTCAGTCAATTGGGATGAAATGTCACAGCCCTTGTGAAGGACCCTCTACCTAATTTGGCAGCATTATACAATGTCAGTGTGACCCCTGTGTGGAAGATGTCCGTCAGCAGCTCCCATATCTCCACTGCCTGTGGCCAGTGAAGTGAAGCCGGAGAGAGTTCAACAGCAGGTCATGCTTATTGTACATTCAAGGCCATCATCTCTTTCTTTCCTCCCTATTATCCCTCTCTGAGCCTCTGAGGGATGAGCAGCAAAGGTACACAGACGTACATTTGTTCTCCACAGACTGAATCTTAAGCAGTTTATTGAATTAAACATTTTGATAGCCTCGGTGGATATTACCTGTCAGTGTCCTGCTGGTTAAAATGAGTGCAAAGGGACTGTGAATACCTGATGGATGAATTAATTCCGTCACACGGGAATCATTTGAATTCAAAACACAAATTTCATGTCCATAATCTGTGACGATTTAGTTTTCGTTCAGGCAACAATACAAACGTTGTGTTTTTGATGTCATTAAGTGCTGGATCTTTGCGAGCAATGAAGCTATGAGTGGTATGTACCAAATTTTGTGGTAATCCATCAAATACTCGTCAACATATTTCATTCTGAACCACAAAAGTCAAAGGCCAGAAGATTGCCGAAGACATTAGGATTGATCCTTTGGGTCAAATCTCACAGCAATCCATCAGACAGATGTTAGGACGTTTCATTAAAAGAACGACAATGATAAAAATCAATTGCTATCCATCTGTTGGTTGTGTTTGACCAAACAACATCTTGTCAATCATTGTCATGTCTTCGGATTACGTGTCACAGAACGAGAGAAAAGCAAAATTAACCTTTAGACCAAACACTGAAATGAAAGTGATTATTTTAACCTCAACTAAACTAAGAAACGTTAAGAAATAATTTAATAAATGGTCATTACGTTACTGTAATGACAGGTGCAGTTGATAAAAAGCATATTAATATGTCAAAGCATTTCAATATTGTCAAATTCTTATGAAATAATTTTTTTTTGATGAAAGATTTAAGATAATTGGTTTGGAAATGATCTCAGTGGTAGAACATGAGCTGACGTGGGTGATGATTAAGTTCAACTTAATGAGTTTTAACAAAGGTGTACTACAGGGCTGTTTGCTAGGTCCACTTTAATTCACAGTTTCTGTACATGAATTTGGTGAAAAAGTTGGAGACAGGACAGTTGTTATTTTTCTCCACGACACTTTATTAGCTTGGTGCAAATGTTGCCTGTTATTAGCTGCCTGATGATAAAGGTGGGACTGAAACTAATCAACACATCTGTGATAAAGCCAAATCATTTTCATACTAATTTCATCCATTACATTACTTTTGTAGTTTTGAAGGTTAAATAACATTTGGGAAATCATTCATGTACCAGGGAAGTGAAAACCAAACGTACTTTAATTTAAAATCCTCCAGTCTGAGCTGAGCATTCCTCTCGTTCCTTTACCCCATCTTTTATCCATTGATATTATGATTCTTATCCTGTAAGGGCCACGTCTTATTGGCTATACACTCTTGAAAAGCCCTGGAAGAAATCCCTCTACTCATCTAAGTTTGTTCTCCCCCTGTGTGTGATACATGTTGGCTGCTGTGCTCTGTCTACACCCAAGTGAGAGAAGCACAAGACACATCAGAATGAAAAATGAGTGTTTACACACGTTCAGTCACTAGATGGAGACATTTTATAGTTTTTATATTGTCGTCACATCTGTTGACCAGCAGCTTTAGAGACAAAAACAATATCTGCTTTTTTAATTTATCTTGTAAATTGTACACAAAACCTTATCTCTGTAAAATGATAATTTAGTTTTTCCTAATTGACACACAGCCAGCATCAGACCAGCTATGAGTCTAACGCCCTAATGCAGCAGCTGATGTCTTTCTGTAAATTATAAAGTTTCCATTCCACAGTTAACAAGTTGGCTGCACCAGATATTCTGAAATTCTCTGTAATGATTGAGACCGTCTGGTTATTACTCAGCAAATTGATATTTGTTTTGTCAGAATTAATTTGCATTAATGACAAATTAACAAGTAATATTTAGAAACAACTAATACTACTACTATCCAGTGTGCAGGTATTCATTTAATAATGTCTAAAGTTACTTAGTAAGTTCTAATATGTATGAGTGTATAGCTGTAATTGCAATTTGCTGCACTTTGTATGGATGAGAAAACATCCTCTGTCCTTCAACAAGAACAAGGAATAACTATTTACTCAGTCGAGTATTTCACAGTAGTTTTATTTTATGTTTGGCTACACAACCTATTCAAATATCACAGAATCATTTTAAATTCTAATTTCACAAGAACATTTGTCATTTGTGTGACTGTTATATTTCTGAAATAATATTCATTGTTTGTATTCATATCAATTGTATGTCTGAAATATGTTAACTTTAGTATAATAATCTATTATTACCTTTAAACTTTAATATTAATTTACACATTAGGGCAAAAATATGAATGTAAGTAATTAAAATGTAAGAAAAATTGCAATTACCTCATCAATCAATCAATCAATCAATTGATCAATCAACTTATTTCCATGTAATTTCTCTCGATGGTTAGAGGCTGTAAACGTCATCCATTGTGCGGCGCAGTCTGAAACTGAGTGGACAGTAGTTACACATACAACATATCTACTTTTTATTTCTTGTTGTTATTCTGTTGCATATTTAAGGGCACAGCCCAGTCACTGGGTGAATTATTAACATGACCGACTGCAGCTTTGAATATCAATACGTCTCAGACAGAAAGCGAAAGAACCCACAACACAAAAGTTTGATCGATGGCAACAGAGCAGTCGTTTAAGAGAAGAGGAGCTGGATGAGCAAGAAGACGATTCATTGATCGATTGATTTTTATTATTGCGTCATGTGCCCAGTAAAGGGAAACACTGTTATATTAGAAAAAGAAAAACTACGAAAGATAAGATAGTGGAAATGAAATAAATAAATAAATATAAAGTTTATATAAGCGCCTAAATAAAATGTGATTCGTTCTGAACCTCTCTTAATTCACACAACCTTCATCCTCAGGGATGTTTTTTAAAAAGAGTCTCTGATGAAGATGAAGAAGCTGTTAAATCACCAGAAGAGTCTGTTACAGCAAACAAAGCTGTAATGTGCGTTTTGTTTGTTGTGCCTGAACACAGTTACATCACCTGTGATTATCGTGCCGTGTTAAAATATTAAAAGGTCACGGTGTGTTTTGGTTAATTGAATTCAAAACTCTACCGCCTCTCCATGATGTGACATCTGTGAAGAGCCTGATAATAACACGCTCTAGGCTTGTTGAATATGTAGGTGCATTATCTGTGTATTTGGGCGTCAGGAGCGGAGGGGGGGGGTGAAAACATTGGGCAGCCGCATAAAATATTGAACAAACTCGTCTTTATTGTTCTTGTTTCCTGAGTTGTATCACACTGAGGGTCAGTGTGCTGCTGAGGCTTGGTCAGCAAACGCTTCCCTGGATAAATAAAGGGTCATAAGCTTTCGTTCGAATGCATATTTATACTCATTGTTGTGCATATGCACTCGAAATTGTAGTATTATCTATAATCGTAAAATACACCTGAGTGTGGGTTTCTGCACTAAGCATGTAGTAGTCGTAGTTTAACAGGTTGATAACTGGGACCCCACATCCATTTATGTATCCACCATAGTGTTAGTAACCACAACAATTAATTACTTTGAAATAAACGGTCTTCTAAATTACTTTCCTCGGGCTTTATTAAGGCAATAGCAATAAATTCTTTGTTTAAATGTTCATTCATACAGGTACAAGTCACTCATCGTGCAGAATATTGCAGATCCACTCCACCGCAGAGTTTGTGTTTTTTATGATTGGATGTCTTGCAGCTGCCATAATGTTTATCATGTGCTGAAGGAGACGTGGCGGAGCAGAGTAATGGGCTCCCCCTGCGCTCGAAGGGGATCCACACGAGCCACATTTCATTTGTAGCTTCGTGTTGCAAGAGCCCAGCTACTCTGTTCATGTGCTGTCAGCTGCATCATAAAGAGACTTTCGATCAACCGTCACCGTGTGTGCACATGTGTGTGTGTGCATGTATGTGTCCCAGCACAGGCTGAAAATCCCCCGTCAAAC